GGATATGCAAAAAAGCAAAATGGGGGGTGTTGATCTGGAAAATCGTTTGGCCCACTTGTGTGGGAGCCCAGAGGCTGCAATGGGATCCTGTATTACTGGTCCATAAGGGTGCATCATATACAACGCGCCCGAGGTGTTAGGTCTATACCCTGTTGACATTCAATGGCCCAGATATGAAAGTACATGATGAGCGCTTAAGGATGCAACGTATGGAATCCTGCAAGAATACGTTAGAAAAAATGTAAAACACTGGACCTGGGATTCGAACCTAGGTCCTTTCCCTCATATACGCGCCTCACTGCCAGCTGAGCCATTGTTTCAATTTTTATTATAACAACATAATAATAATATAATGGAAAAATGATGTTAAGTCCTAGTCAGCAAAGCGCGCGAGTCAGAAATTTAAACTAACCAATTAAAACGCGTGAAACCGCCACGCTTGCTCCCAGACGGAGTCAAGAAGTCAACGACGCCGGAGCTGGACTCTTGTCGTCTTCTTTGGGCATGTGGAAATGTGATCTGTGATTTTGGAAGGTTTAAACCCAAGATCAAAATCCTATTCCATACAAAAATTGATATTGAGTTCAAATCCGATTTTAGTTTCCATGGATCATGGCTATATCACCATGTTCAAGGCACAATAGAGCTTTTTCCCTAAACATGGCAAAAACTTAGATTTGCATCGAATCACTCATGCTTCACGTTAGAAAACATCAAAATCATCATACAAATAAGAATATATGCATTAAACTTGTTTAGAATGCACGTATTAAGAGATTCAGATCTTGGAAATTTTACCATAATAGAGCAATCTGGTTAGTCAATCTCAGGGTACCTCAGGCGTGGGTATGGACTGGATTCAACTTCTGGAAGTCCTGGGATGTTGATGGAGCCCTTGGATTGGATCAAAAGGGGCTGGAAGTGTGATTTTGATTTTTGACAATTTTAGTGGAAATTTGGAATTTTTGTGTGAACTCTTGGGACTCTGTAGTTGTCTATTGAGCTTGCAAACATGATGTATATATAGAGGAGGTGGAGGAGATAAGATAACATGGAAAGAATCTCAACCATAAAGCCATGATGAAGGTCATTATTTCATTTTTGAAAAATGGCCATAATTTGAGATTTCATGCCATTTTCATATTTGGATGAACCTAAACACTTGTGCACGGAATCTTGGGCTTCAAGACAAGTCAAAGCACCAACCCAAATGCCTAAGCCCATTTCCAATTATTTTGTACCATTTATATTATATTTATTTGAAATAAATTAAAATAAATATGTAAAAAATAGGTAGAAAATGCAAGGCCATGCAAAAGTAATATTAGAGGTTCTCTATAAACTTAGGAAGATATTTGAACCTTAAAAGTTAGGCCATTGACTCAAAAATTCAAATTTGCTCAATGCACCATTCTTGAAATTTCCAAAATTTTCCCAACTTGGGCAAGCCATAACTTGCTCAATTTTTATCTCATGATGATGATCTCGGACCTTTTGGAAAGTCCAAGATGTATAATTAAATCCCTCTTTTGATAAATTTTAAATTTGAAGATGTTATCTTGATGTAAAAGGTCTTGGAAAAAAGTGGCTTTTGTTGACTTTTTAAAAATGACCTGTAATGTCTGAGCTCATATCTTTCAAATGGTGTATTTCTTGATCTTTAGGGCTGAAGAGAAGTTGTAGGGAATTGGATTCTCTTAAAAATTAGCTTTGGTGTAGAAATTTCTAATAAAGTATGAGAAAGTTATGCTTGGTCAAAGTTTGGTTGACTTCTCCTATAGAAACCCTAATTTAGCAATTCTTGACTTTTGATGAATTGGGAGCATTTGTTGAGGAATCCTGATCAACCCCTGATCAAATGATGGGTATCACTTCAAAATGTTTATGTTGACCAGAAATCTTGACGTTTGACTGTACATGGGCCACGGTTGACTTTTGACCTAGCACGGTTGATTTTCAAGCATTTGAGCAATTGACTGAGCAAACTTGTTGTGCAAGGCATGAAATTTGGCATGGATAATATTGAAGGCATATTAGGACCATGGGAGGCATTTGAGACCATTGGAGCTCAACCATCTTGATGAAAATTGAAACCCTAGTTCGGGGTTCATTGCCTTAGGAGGAGAATTTGTTTGGTCAATTCTTGGTCATCCTTGGGAAAGTTGGGGACCTTAATGGGCATGTGTTGAGTAAAAATGGAGGGAAAATTTTAGGGTACAACACTTAGATTCTTCCTAGAAATTGATTCCTATTCACTTTATATAGAATCATATGAGTTCCTTTGTGCCCTAGCTCTCTTCACAGTGTTCTTCTCACTTTCACGATCGCACAGAATGAAACACTTTTCCTTCTATTCCTTGGTTAACCCTTGGACCTTTTTTATGGTCTTCCCATCTTATCCTCACTTATATCATCATATTACAACCTTGTACTCATTGTAACTACCTCTTATTATTATTCTATTTAACTAATTAAAATAATTCCACCTAATGATTCTAATTATTCTTATTCTAAAAATACTCAATATCATCTTAATTCTCACTACCCCATCATACACCACACAAAACATCATATCAAGCATCATGTTCATCACAACATCACATATACTTCACAAATACTCATCATAAATCAATTAAATTATTAAATAAATAATCTAATTATTTTGTGGAGTTACAAATAGATCCCCAATTAAAAATTACCTTTCAAAAATGGGTACTTAAAAACTTATTTGAAAAACAATGTTGAGCAGAAGGTTTTTGGCCTAGATTAAAATAATAGTCTAAACGAAGTTAGTTATTGGAAACTCATATATGCATAAACCGTATGAAACTAAGATAATGATAAAATCAATCAATATAATAATATCTCATTTAACGGTGTAATATCCAACACAACGGTTTCCTATTTCCAATGAAATTAAACAAAAATATAGAACATTGTAATTTGTCAAACACATGGTGTGCAAACTACTTCTCAAAATTTTTCTGAGTTTTGTTGATATGAAGAAGCACTTATAATCAAAGTGAATATAAGTTAATCAACAAACCAATTTAAACCAAAACAATCACAGAAAAATTCTTATGAGTCAATCGATTAAACAATGAAATTTAACAAATGGCATAATGAAACATATAAAGCAAGTAAAGAGATAAGAGATAAAGAGAGAACGACACAGAGATTTGTTTAGGAAGTTCACCATTTATCCTCTCTATGGCTACGTCTCTCCCAAATTCCAATTTTGAATTAGGATAATTTCTTACTTTGAAAAAGTATATTACAACAGAATTTTTCAAGAGCAATCCTACAAACCCTAACCATTTGATGTTGATTGAACCTCTTCTCTTATTTTGATCTTAAATATGACCAGGACCATAATATCTACCAATTGATTTATCGAATCTTACTAATCCTTTGCATTCTTTATCTCTAAATCTATCATGCACGATCAATTGTACCTATTGCACACAAGACACTTCGATTCGATTTGTCGTTCTCGTGCTACTTCCATTGAGATATTTTCTCCAAAGGTCCTTTACGTTCTTTATCTCCAAAGACTTTCACTAGGCTGCAGTCCTCTCTTGAATGTCTTGCACGAAAACCCCCAAATCTATCAACGATCATGAAGGATAAACCCGCTGTTTTTATGGATGAAACCCCTTGTAAATCTCAACCCAATATTCTCAGATACACAAGAACCTAATTGGACATTATCAAACCTCGCCTAGATGGCACCCAAAAAAAAAGATGATTATGTGTGATTTATCAGGGTGTATGCATAGGTTGGATGTTGAAGATGAACAACAAATGCAGTATGTGTTTATAGTTTCACCAAGTTGGAATGATGCATGAATGATGTATTTATAGTTGTGGAAGTTTAGATGCAAAGAGATAATTTTCTGAATTAAAAAAAAAACTGAAAAATTGACCCAATTAAATAATATGTGTTGACTTAAAAATCATATGTGTCGTCATATAAGTCAAATTTTAACTGTATGTGCCGACCTGGAAAACAAATGTGTCGACTTAAGCATGAGAGTAATGTTTTACTCTAAAAACTGTAGTGTGTGTGCTGACCTGAAAATCGTATGTGTCGACCTGAAAAGTGGATGTGCCAACACATGCAAGTGTTTTTTGTGCAGAAAATGATTTTTCATGATTTGGATCAATTTTAAACTTGTTTTTAATGCTTCCTAAGACATCTAATGCAAGGATGCATCAAAGGACACAAAGATACCGCCCAATATACATAAATGCTAAATTTTTCTAGTTTTGACATCATGTAAAACATCTAATGGTGAAGTTGCACTCACAGTAAATCCTGTATTATTTTCATAGGAACTATTTGCCTACTTTTTTCATACAAAGTCCACTCATTGGTTTAACTTTGAAAGATGGAAATAAACCAAAAATAGACACCACTATAAAGCACTTGCCTTCCTAGAATTCCAATGCCTAAAAACCAAACATTTTATCCACCGGAAGCTAATAATGTAAAAAAAATCATGTATTATATTTTATCCGCTGCATTATATTTAATAAACATACATTTTAATGAATATTGCATAAAAATTAAAAAGGTTGTGTTTAAACGGTGTAAGAAGCACTCAGAATAATTGAATGACATATAACATTGACAAAAGAAGATTAAGAATTAATAGAATTGAATAGAAAATATTTCCAATGATTTCCACTATTTGTTTGTCTGTTACTTACTTTGAGTTGTAGATATCAAAACCCTACATTAAAATATAAGAAAAATTTTTAAAATAAAGATAAAATGTGAATCAAATAACATGACAAAACGTTGAATCCAATAAGAAATAAAGTTTTGTTCAGTACCCACATGTATATTGAACTAATACATTCGAAAAAGTAACATCCCTTATGAATCAATAATCAAGTAATGAAAATATTCAAACCCTAACTCTATCTACCTTTATTTAAATCCAACTTTGTCAAGAAAAATCCAAGAAAATATTGCACATCAACAACTTTAATGATCACTTCAACAACTTGACATCAGAAGGATAAAATAATAAATAAAAATCAATACAAGAAGCATACCCATGACAAAAGTAAACAATGGAATTGATAATATAGATACTCACACAACACTCGTGAGCATCCAAAAGAAAGAATAGATTACATGATGGTTGAGTAACCAACCGTGTATTTTCTAAATCATATTTTTCATTCATATCCTTCAACCAACCCCATAAATCTCGCTCATAACTGTAACCAACCTTCCATATTCATCCTTGTTCCAAACCTTAATTCTAACTATTTTTATTTAAACCGTCATGAAGATGAAGATATTGTTGATGAAAATGAAGATGGAAGAGAAAGAGAAGGATGAATTGATTTTCAAGGAAAATGTGAAGACGAAAAAGATGAAGACAAAAAAGAGAGTGGGAATTGAATTTCGAGGAAAAGGTGAAGACAAAAGAGATGAAGACAAAAATGAGAAAGTAGGAATTTATTTTCAGATTAGGAAAAGATGAAGACATAAGAGAAAGTGAATAATGTATTAGTTGTAAATTCATGTTTAGAGAATAAAAAGTGTATAAAGTGATGTGATAACATTGGTAAAAGAGAAAGGCATAAAAAGTTAAATTGGATAGGTTGGTTTAGAACCAAAGAGAACTATGTGACATCATCAATTGATATAAACCTAGCAAGCAAATGTATAATACAATAATCATGTAGTTGGAATTGAACAATGTGACATTATTAGTTGTAAAAAATAATTTTTGGACCAAAATTCCCCTCATTTTAGTGAAGTGACAGATTTATAAAAAAAAAGGCAAAGATGTGTTTTCCACAACATCTTCTTTTCTTAAGAGTATATTATAGAAAAAAAATAATTTGAGACATGGAAAAACATGATATAGAACGCCTATAAAATTATTAAAGGGTGTTTTAGTATTTCTAATTGTTTTAGATAACTTAGTTATTAAGTCTATTCTATTAGGGCCTATGTGGCATTTTTTTGTGTATAAATAGACTAGTTGTAAATTTCATAAAAAACAAAATTTTATTCCTCTTGCAGCTTTTATAACTGTCATTCTCTTTTCTCTCTTAAATTCATACTTATTCATCATTAATTCTTGTGCACTAACAAATTGGTATCTAGAGCTCCGATTCTGATCCACATGAAAACACAGGGAAACACGAGTGATACGTGAAGCATTTGTATGATCAATTTTGGTTCTGGGTTCGTGTTAAATCTTGAACAAAAAATCTAAACAGAATCACATTTTTCTGATTTTGTGGGGTTGGGAAATACTGTGCTTGTGAGATCTGAGTGAGTAGTACAAGGTTAAGGATGAATGTAAAAGGTAGTATGAGTACCAAACTTTCTTGTATTGATGGAAAGAACTAGAATAAATGGATGATTCAAATGTGTGTGTTGTTTGGTGTACAAGTTGTTCTTGAGCTTGTTACTGAAGGTTATGTTCCAGTTGTAGAAAACGCAACGAAGGAGCAGAGAAACGTACAGAGAGACAAGGGAAGAAAGATCAGAAGGAGTTGTTCTTCATCCAGCAATTTATGGATGATGTGATACGGTGGCAGAACTGACTATTAATACTGGTTTGCATTTTTTGTTCGCAAATGTCGCGGTGAGCAAGAGTCGCCACCGACATTTATTTTATCCAAAAAAGGAAAAGGTGAAAACAATAGAAAAATACATTTTTCGAGATTTTCTGAGTAAGGGGGGTATATTATGGAAAGGGAAGGTGTTAGCACCCTTTCCATCCGTGGTTTTCCACGGGCTCTTAGGTACTTGCTCATTTTTTAAAATTGTTTGTGTTTGTGTGTTTTGAAAGATTTTGTTTGCTTTATGGTAACTCTTGTATCAGTCCTCAAGAGTGTGATAAAGCATTTTTGAAAAGAAGTTCGAAAGCGTGTAAGTGTAAAAAATTAGGATTTGAGCAAGTACTTAATAGCTATCTACCTACTCAAAAAAAGACGTTCTTTTCTTTGTTTCCTTTAGATAGTTCTATCCTACTATTAGTGAGTAGGAAGCCCTATCATTGGATGTTGAGAGACTATCGAAAGAGACATTTATGGTCATCGAAAGCAACATGTAAGGATACCTTAGTATTTCGAAGGGACTGTCATCATATAGGCAACATCGAGGGACAAGATCATTTCTCGTAGGCAACTCGAGGGACACTAAGGGACTATGATCTTTTATGATGACTTTTAAACTTAGGGTCTTTGCTAAGATATCCCTATGTTCGAGGGACATGACCATTGTTTTCCGAGGCAACCAAGTGAGGATTACCCTAAGGGTGCAAGTGTGCAATAGTGTTTTATTTTCCAGATATTTATCTTATGTTAGTGATCTAGTGATTAATTTGATTAATCTTGTCATGCGCACCTAATTTACTAGCAATTATATACAAGCATATAAGAAATATAAAAGCGAGAAATAAAGTTCCTACGACTATTACAAGGCTTCGGGACAGTTATAGTTATATCTGTCTAAAATGTAAAATGCGGAAAATAAAAATCCTAATTAGGGCTATTACAATCCACAGGCAGATACATAATCAGGAAATAAAAATACGTGCACGATAAAATTACAAACCATAGATAGATACATAATAATATAAGCGCGCGAAACAAAGAAACGTCTAAAAAACCTAATAAAATCCTAAGTAAACAAGAACATATTTTTGTTTGTTTTTTATTTGATTTTAATAAAACAATTAAGTGAAGTAAATATCTAAAATTTAATTAGAGAAGTAAAAATAAATTGGATGAAATAAAATCTAGTTCTAATGTTTTTGTATTTTTTTTGTTAAGAAAATAATTTAAATAAATAAAAAAGAGAACTTAAGTCTAATTTGATTTTAAATTGATAAAATAGCATTAAAATAATTAATTAATTAATTAATATAATTTTAAAAAAGAACCTAAATCTATTTATTATTTTTTTGATTTTTTGTTATAACTTAAAAAAATGACTTTTGAAAATAATAAATAAAATAAAAATGATAAAAAAAAATTAAAACATGGGCCTGGCATATGAAACAAAAATAGGGGTGTGTTGTTAAAAAAAATGTTGGGCCCAATCCAGAGGGAGCCCAGAAGTTGTACTGGGATTCAGTGAGGAGCGCTTTTGATAGCTCATGGTGCACCTGCATGTGGGAACCTTTTGATCTATATCAACCAAGATCTAGTGGTTGTGATCTGGAGGCACATGATGGACAGTTGAAACATAATCTGGCTATGAAAGGGGTATGACAGCCCTCAGGGGATATGATTACAGCACTGATGCCAATGACGAGTGCGTTGGAAGCTCCGTCAAAAATCATAGTCCATCGGATCCTTCCTCAGGTCCTTCATCTGGTCCAGGTTCTTCATAGTCAGTCACTAGCATAATATTCTCGTCCGGGAACTCAAAATTCATGGACTAGTAGTCATCCACAGCCTGATAAGCCAAATGATAAGCTAGTACACTTCCCTTGATTGCTTTTTGGGTCGTATATTAGATATCGTATTCGGTTAAGATCATTTTCCATCTTGCTATTCTTTCGGAGAGAGCGGGCTTCTCGAAGATGTACTTGATCGGATCCATCTTAGATATCAATAAAGTAGTGTGGGTCAACATATACTGTCTCAGTCAGCAAGAAGCCCATGCCAAAGCGCAACAAGTGTTCTCGAGCAGTGAGTGTCTTGTTTCACAGTCGGTAAACTTTTGTCTAAGGTAGTATATTGCAAGCTCTTTTCAACAGGACTCGTCATAGTGCCCCAGCACACACCCCATTGAATTATCTAACATTATTAAGTACATTATCAAAGGTCTTCCTTCAATCGGAGGCATCCGAATTGGAGGCTCTTGAAGGTATTCTTTGATTCTCTCAAAGGCAGTCTGGCATTCGTCATTCCACTTTACCACTTGATCTTTCTTCAGGAGTTTGAAGATTGGCTCACAAGTAGCTATTAAATGGGAAATGAACCTAGAAATGTAATTTAGGCGTCCCAAGAAACCTCTGACCTCCTTCTCAGTGCGAGGATCCGGCATCTCTTGTATAGCCTTCACCTTTTCAGGGTCTACCTGAATACCTTTATCACTGACAATGAAACCTAGGAGTTTACCAAACCTTACCCCGAAGGTGCACTTGTTCGGGTTTAACCTCAGCTTGTACGTCTTCAACCTATCAAACAACTTTTGTAGATGATCAAGGTGCTCTTCTTCCGTTTGGGACCTGGATATCATGTCATCAATATAGACCTCTATCTCATGATGAATCCTGTCATGAAACAAAGCTACCATAGCTCGCTGATATGTTGCCCCAGCGTTCTTCAACCCAAACAAGATCACTTTGTAGCAGAAAGTGCCCCATTGTATGACGAAGGTTGTTTTTTCCATGTCTTCAGGTTCCATCTTAATCTGATTGTAGCCAGAGAAAATGTCCATGAAGGAAAGACCTTGTGCTGCGTGGTGTTGTCAACCAGGACATCAATGTGGGGAAGCGGAAAGTGATCCTTGGGGATTGCCCTGTTCAAATCTCGGTAGTCCACACACATCCATACCTTACCGTCCTTTTTAGGCACCGGGACTACATTAGCAACTCATTGGGGATAAGAGGTGACAGCTAGGAACCCAGTGTTGAATTGTTCCATAACTTATACTTTGATCTTCTCCGACATTTCAGGGCGTATACGACGGACCTTCTACTTTACCGGAGGGCAATCTTCTTTAGTTGGCAGACGATGAACTATAATATCTGTGTCTAGTCCCGACATGTCTTCATATGACCAGGAAAAGATTTCAACATAATCATGCAACATCTGGATCAAACGTTGTTTGACATGAAGCTCCATATTTGCACCTATCTTGACCTCTTTTATGTTCTCTTTTATGCCCAAGTTCAGTGTTTCAACTTGATCTTCATGAGGCTGTATAGCCTTTTCTTCCTACTGTAATAGCCTAGCATGTTCTCTGGGTACCTCACAATCTTCCTCACCTTCGTCCTCGACTTGGTTGATCGGATTTTTAAAGTCATAATCGGCAATAGAAGAACTGTTATCAATGGGATCCAGAGTGGATATGGATTTTAAGTTTGATATGTGAGTGTGTGTAAGAGCATAGCTATATAGACAAAGTAAAAAGCAGAAAAGAAAAACAGAGAGCGCAAAATTTGTATGCATAAACGTTGGATGCTTTATTAATGCCATATGAAAT